CTGCAGGCAGTCAGGCTTCCCTCGGTGAACGTTAGTGCCAAGCTACCTTTCTGCCAAACACGCCTGCCTCCCTTCAGCTGCTGCCGGAAGCCTCTGCCAGCAGGGCTGCAAGTTCTCCTGCTCACCCTCCAGTGATGCGGGGCTGCCCCACCTTCAACCCACTGGCCAGTGGTAAGAAAAGGTTTAGAGCTGGTGAAGATGCTGATGTGATTCATCTTCTTACAGCTCTGTATCTTCCAAGAGTCTGCTTGTAGCTGGTAGACTGCAAAAGTGATCTGTGTGTCACCCTCCATTTGGGGTGATGTCATTCCTTATATAAACTCAAGGAGAGTTTAATCTCAGAATGAAATCTCATTGTGCGCTGAATAAAGCGGCTGTAAACATCTCTGCACAGACTGAGACGCAACGTACTCCTGCTGTAGTATCGGAGATGCTAGTGCTTGTTTACCGGCAGCAGTTAATTCTGAAGCCACTTCCTTTAGGTTTTAATTAAAATAGTTAATGGTGGAAGACAGGTCATACTCATTTGTGGCAGTTAGTTAGTTAGTTACAGTAAATGATGACACCCCCCCCCCCTTCCCCTTTCCCTCCAGCTGAGGGCTGGCATGCCCCTGATTTCTATGGCTGTAGTCATACGAAGAGCCAGGGCCGTGAGCTACAGGCTGGTTGTATAATCACCTTCCAGAATACTCCAGCTCACAGTTTGTGCTGATTTTTTTTTTTTTTTAACAGCCAATTAATTGCCTAGAGCAAGGACTCGGCAAGCTCATCACCCTAATGCTTGGCTTTGGCACTGAGATGAGCTGGCCAGCTGCCTTTGAAAAAGGTGGTTAAAGCTACAGTGTTTGAAGATAATAAAAATTTTAAAATCAGTAACTGTACAACATCAAGACTATAATATACAATGGCTATAGGGCTTTCCTGTAAAATGATAATTTGGGGGAGGGAGGGACCAACACCACAACACCTAGACACCTGTTAAAACTGTTACATTGGAAGCATTGGTTATTGCTCACGTGTAAAATGATCTATAAAACTACATCTGCTTTTCTGTAGCACACCTTATGTTTTAATGCAACAGGGCTTTTTCCTCCCATACAGCTTTCTTACACTGACAAGCATGTCAAGTGTTTTTTTCTGCAGTTCAGCACATGCATGGCCCAACACAGAAGAAAAAAAAAATCAAGGGATTGGCTATTATTAACATGAACAAAGGACAAGGAATGCTTGAATGGCTTGACCAAAAAGCGAAGTATTTCTAAAAGTACATACTGACTCAAAGTGCACAAAACTATTTCTTTTCAATGTAAATAAATAGCTGAGTAGGTACTGCACCGCCAGCATCATTCTGGCATGCTGATGGAAAGAAGATAAAGTATCCAACCATCCTGATTAAAAATTTCCTTAGCAATTCAAAGATCAAAGATTTATGCTCTTTATGACGAGCTTCTCTCCCACCCTGATGACTATTTCAGGCACTTTATTCAATATATCTTGTCTTAATATTTTCTTTTTACAGGTCTTGTATCATTTCTGACACTGAATACTCAGCATTCTGTTTCTAGTCAAACCCATACTAAAATTCTCTCTGCTACAGAAATTAAGGTATATGCTCCTCAGTATAAGGTATATACACGCAGTATAGCTCTGTAGCACTCCCTAGGACATATGCTAGAATAAAGTGGCTTCTCATGAAGGAGATGTGTTTACAGAGGTGTTTTGAAACTGGAATGCTAGCAGAAATAGATGAGCCGTACAGCTACATTGAAAGTCTCAAATGTACCAAGCCCAAACCTGCTGATAAAGACAACTTTTTTGCCCTACTGCCAGCAGAAATGGATAGGAAGGAAAAGGGTGGAAGCCTTGCCTAGCACAGGGTTTTCTACCGTCTGTTTGGATACACTGAGTAGCGTTGCCACAGGGAGCACCCCTGTGCACCACCTGGCACTATGAAAAACAAAACCTCTGCCATCATTTGATTTTTCAGTATTATGTCTTTCCAGATCATAGAAACATCCCGTTGCATCAGCAGTCATCTCATTCTAAAGAGCTTCAGTTGAGAGCCAGATGCTGCAAACATTTGGCAGGGGCTTCCTAAATACAAGCAAATGCAGGCCACTCTGACTCTAGCCCAGGAAGACTCTCACACACTTGCTTTGCAAGTAATTCTTTCAACTTCACTAGCAGTGAGCTACTGCTTACAGAAGCAGCATAGCAGTTCTGAAATTCATTTCTTTAAATAGCTGACAAAGAAAACCTTATCCAAGCCTATGCTAAAAACTTGTTTTACTTGTTATTCCTCTGCAACTTTACTCCAGAAGGCATGAGACTTATTCACATTATTTAGTCACATCGCCTTGCGGCAGTTTTTTCCCCTCTTTCAGAAAGGATCATGTTTCACCATCAGAACTCACTATCAGCAAAATGTCCGTAGAAGGTAGCAGGTTAAGTTCAAGACCTACTTAAAACATGTAATAGTGAATGATTACCCATGTATATCTTGCTGAGCACTTCTAGAATGTGAAAAACTTATCTGTCTTCCTTCAATGACGATGAGTTATTTCTGTTATCATTCCACACCCTGAATACCATACAATCAGATTAAACAGGTCCCAAAAATGCAGCCAGGTTACTTTCTGATAAACATCATCTCATTTTCTTGCAATTTTGTAGCGACTTTGGCAAAATTATGGAAGTTCTTTGTATTCTGGTATATACCTCAACTACCCTGAAGAGAATTAAAAGAATTGGAACTTCTCTTTCTTAAGAGAAGTTTAAACTTTTTTAAGAGAAGTTTTTAAACAAAAGACTTAAGTTTAAATGAGGCACACTAACAGTTATGAATTTCAATAATTTAATGCTAACCAAGAGTACAAAGTGTGAAAGTCGGTGTCTCATTTATATTGGTCTTAAAAAAAGAAATCTACAGAAAGTGTTTACACTGCAGCAGATTTCAGTATTAGCACCTTGAAGAGAAGTTCTTGAAGATGACAGTATGGCAACACTGGTACGATACTAAATACAAACATAAACCATGTAACAGCATGTTTTCACATTTCTACATTAGAAAAAAAGTTACTTAAAAAGTACAAAACAGAAGTTCTTCAGTGTATTCACAGCTTGAGTAGAGACGGAATCAAGTGCTGGAGTAGAAAAGAGAAGGTTGAATGCTTTCAAGGCAATTATATTGCAAGTCCAAAGGCACTGACAATACAGTACATAGTCTTATTCTCCCATCTCACAGTGCAGGTTCCTACAAATAGAAAAAGGGGTTTCAGAGAAAGAAGAACATTACAGTGATTAAATGCATACCCTTATATGCATGTTTGTAATTGTTTACGAGTCCTAAGAATGAAGCTTTCACAACAGCTAAGCATTTCATACACAGCAGAGTTAGCATCACACCCAAATGCAAAAAATACCAAACTGTATGCTGTTACTCCAAAACTATAGCACTTAGAAGAAAAGTATGCTGCCTAGTCTTGAGCGGACTAACATTAAAGCTGCAAGCTGAAAAATCCAACAGTTTTGTTCCTTACCATCACTGGAGTTGTCCCAGAAGCAAGAGCTTGCTGTATGTAGCCCAGCACCATTCTTTTGCATAATCACACAGGTCACTGTTATTCAGTAGAGAAGCTATTATTAATTTATCACCGACATTAATTAACATTTAGCTACATTTTTGCTTAGCCTAGTACATACATATACACACACATATATACATGCTTATGAGTAGTTTACAGACATGGTTCCTGCTAAGATCTTCCCCCACCCCGCATCAGTGCACTGGACTGAACCAGCTTTAGTAGAAAAGAGAAAGTTGAGCTCACCAATATACTTGAAAGGCTTCCCCAGCTTTGTGAGTTGGCTTAGCGTTTGTTCCACCACGCTCGTTGTCCACTGGTTCACTTTGCTGTGCTGGTAGGCATTGCCACCTATTGCAGTCTCTATGGCCTATTGGCAACAAACACGTAAAATAAGCTGCACTGTTGTCAATCTACAAGGCACCCATTAAGCCATTCCAACGTGGAACACTGAAGATGAGACCCCATACCCACAGAAAAAATCCTAAATATTGCTTGTCCCATCTTGTAAGTGTTTTCATTTGAGCCAGGCAGAGGGGAAATATCACAGATTCCACCCTCTCTTCATTTTGTGCTATTTTGCTTATTTGTAATTCCTACCCCAACGTCCTGAACCCAGAGTTATGAAAAGGCTCTTGCATTTAAACAGACCTGAAGAGAGTAAAAAAAGGCATACAACAATGGCTCATTCACACATATTCTTCTATGGAAATGAACTTCAGGTTTTTCAGCAGAATCATTTCTGTGAAACAAAACCCCAAATCAAAACAAAAGACCCATGTAGTTGCTGGCTACTAATAAAGCAGAAGCCTTCAGCCAAATAATCCATTTTACTTGTGAGGATAATTTCCCCTTTAAGATACAAATAAAAGTACGTTAAAGCTGCATGTTTTTCATTGATACATTTTTTTCCTCATAGAAATTGTTTAAAAAATAACCACAAAATTATTTCAGATTCAGAAGAGCCAGAAGCATGTGTACTCAATTTACAGAGTGTGTCCAAAACAGTTGTTTTGCAACAAGAAAAAGATTGCATTAGTTTACAAGAGGAATTCTGGACACAAAACCCAAATCCCTCTGGAAATTTTCTAGACAGGAAATCCATGTTGCTTAGCAACAAGAATAGTTCAATCATTTCAAACAAACAAGAACTCATTTTGGAGCAAAAGCATCTCAAAAGAACACAGTAACATGCATATGCAGACAGCCTATTAAAAAACCCTATATGTTACTGAAACATAAAATCTATCTCTATAGGGTTTAACATAAAATATTCCCCTAGAAATTCTAATAGGGATACACTGCAACCAGAAAGGAGCATATGAAATTATTTTAATGATCTTTTGGATTTGTAATATGTACCAGAACTAAAGCTAGGTATAATTTCCACTTAAAGTATGTACATTGGTTAAATCAACAATTATCTATACTTTGATAGCAACTTCTCTAGAAATCTATTACATATCAGTTAACAATTTTTATTGAATGCTTTTTAGCATACAACATACTATACTTTCACACCAACAAAATGAAAATGTTAGTTTACCTCTTTAATGATGCTACTGACTTCATCAACAACAAAGGAAGTCTACAAAAAAATAGAATTTTAAATAATCAGTGGACACATTCTTCTGTTTACAGAGTTCAAGCTTTGTTAAGAACATGCACTAGAAGCTTAATTTATGCTTGTCAGATTTCTTGCAAGTCAGAAGATACCGAGTCCTCCTTTATTTGCTCATATGTGCTCTGGCTCGCTGAACCCAGTCAAGTTAACATTCTTTGCCAAATAATGAAAAGTAACAGATGGAGTACTATTGGCTGGCCTTTTGAGTCAAAGTTTTCAAATTTTAACTTGAAAGCATTTTAAAATAATATGTATAGCATTTTTGTACAAATATATTCTCATTTTACAATAAGCATTAATGTCCACAATTCACAGTGAGGTTGCAGAGATAACCTCAGCATTCAGACACATCTTACAGTTGAATGAAACCGACATCTCCCGGGCACTGATGCGGACAAAACACCGATTCACAGCTCAAGGAAAAGCTGTCATGACAATCTTAGCTGCAGATGAGAAGAAAACTGCACCTTGGAAACCAAAGGGGAAATCTAGCTGGCTGTACTTCCCACCACCTTCAGCCTTCTCTCAGGCTGTGGGGAGTAGAGATTAAGCACGTGGAATGGGGACAGAGAAGGCCCCAACATTTTACTAACCTTAAAACTACTACCTGTTTTCTTGCATGATTAGTATGTTTTCCTGTTTCAGTCCCTCAGCTATTGTTGCCTCCCATGTAAGGTGGTTAAAACAAGCCACCACCACTGCCGGGGGCAGCCCACCCCCCCCCCCCGCCCCCCCGCGCAGCCGATCAAACAGCCGGGGAACCCTACCTAACAGGCGGGATCTCGCATGGCGTGGCAGCGAGCCAGGCACCGCGTTTTTACTACACGTATCTCACAGCCTCACTTCACAAACCAGAAGAAAGGAATCAGACAAAAGAAATCCACATAACAGCAAACTAATTATTTTTAGAGGACTGAATAAGGATTCCAAAATTAACTTAATCAAGCATATGTCAACTGAGTTTTCACTAGGAGGTCTGTCAGCTTCTCCCGGTGGCAACATGAGTAATAGCATAATTCATGTGTGTGGGCAGGATGTAGTTACACCTGCTCAGGAGAATTATTTATATTCATAAAACACTTGGTCAGAAGGTGAACAGTCCAGTCAACTGCAATGACATGCGACATTCAGAAATGTGTGAGCTGTTGAGTGTTCTCCCTGACAGAAGAAACAGCATGGCCTGGGAGACGTGCAAGCAATGCCTTTGCTCTAACTAACTATTCAGAGGCATCAACCTCCTCGCACACATCAACATTTTTAAAAGCTTTTATGTGCTGTGGCAAACTGGCTTTTATTTGCAGCTTCTTGACTTTGAAATAATTTTAATATGCCTCATTTGTTTTCACAGTACTGAATTTTACGGGTGCTTACATTTAAGGTGCACCACTTCATTTAACCAATTAAGAGCTACAATTATCAAAATATATTTTCCCATAGAGCATAAGTTTAGAATACACAAGCCAGACGCACTGGCAGACAGGAAGCATGCTGTCAAGCAAGACGATAAACTACATACCAATTTTTCTTCACAGAGTCTAGAACTCTGTTCACAAATGCCTCTGAGTGAACACAAACACAGCCCACCAAAGTAAACTGAATCAAATTCAACCTAAGTTCTCAAAGGTATTTAGAAATCTAATTTGTAAGGAAAGAAGTGGGAAGGAGCCATAGATACATTTGAGAATTTGGTTCTAGAGTTGCTGTTGCTTCTTGACCCTCTCCCTTTTTTGTGATGAGTGTATACGGGCTTAGATGCATGACAAAACAGAACATAAAGTCCACTATCAAGCTTTGTGATTTGTGTGCTGTAATTGAGTTGCCAAATAATACAACAGTATTCCATCCTTTAATAAGATAATATAAGCACTTTTTGTATTAAAAAATAAAGGGGAAAAAAATCAGAAGCTCTGTGAGTTCTCTGAACTGTTCCTTGGGCTCAAGGAAAGCAGATGTGGTTTCCAATATCTTGTTTAAAAGGGGAGTTCCAAGGCAACAAATGCAAACTGCAAAGCAGTATTATTTTTAAGTAATTCTGAAGACGTTATTGAAAGCAGCTATAAAACTGATGTTCAAAACTGTTAATTACAATTTTTTAAAAATATCTGTAACTCTATAAGACAGGGAGGCTCAGCAATCAGGACAAGGCTTTTAGAACACCACAAGCCTGACACACCTTCATCCCTCACATTGCTTTGCTATTGTCTAACCAAGTCACACTGCAGCTGTTGAAGAACAATGCAGCAAATTGTCACAGCACAGAAAAACCGTCCCTCTGCAAGAGGAACACTTGCTGGGTAGTCATTTAACGCGATAAAGACCCTTGATTTATCCGACCTTGTATCATTGTTAATGGGGTATAATGGGATAGCTGCCTCATTAGTACGCCTGTAACACGCGGACTGTCTGCTTTGAACTCTTCTTTCCGCACAAAACCATCTTATTCGAGTCTTCCCCACGCTGACCTAAACCGGACCAGCAAGCCTTCCACCACAACACACAGCTTCATTCTGTTAGTGAAGCCAGAAACCATGACGCTCCGTCAGCATTTTCTCTAAGTGATTTGCAGAGGCAACTTTCGGGAGAGAAGCAGGCGTGGGTCGATGCCAAGGGAAGAGGAGCCCGGCGAACACCC